CCTCCCTCCCTCCAACACCTGACTCACCTGTGCTCCTCAGTTTTTCCCTCTGCAGCTGCTCCTCATAAGTCTCACATTTAGACATGGTGTCCGACAGCTGCCGATGCAAAAGGTTAAACAAATTAAGTATATGTGAGGCATCATGGAGAAACCTGGCACTTGTTAAAATAAGGAAATCAAAGAAACCACAGCATTTTTTCTGGGCGTTTGGTGATTTTTAAAATGAATTTTCTTTTTTTTGCTCAACTTCTTTTACACCCAATTTAAAACATATTTCTCCTTCTTTTGTTGTTGTTTTTTCCTTGATTTGGCGCTCATATGACCTTATGCAGTTGCAAGCGCCGTAAAACCCTCTACTAAAAAAAAACAAAAAACCTTGATTAAAGACACACAAAAAAGTAAACTTTCCATTTCTAAAGATTCTCTAACTATGGATGTCACCAAACTTGGCCACCATTTATGTGCTCATTTTACTGCTGAAACCAGGTGATCACCATCCTCTTCAATCCGAAATATCTCGACTTCTATTCAAGGTAGATCATCATCATCATCCAGTGCCAGATCTGCGACAGACATCGGCAATCATGGTTCTCCATTCATTCCTTTGCTCGGATGCTCTCAAAAAAAGCTACGTTTCCCTGATCTTTCCTTGTTACCCATTTGTTTACGTTCCCCAAGTATGTTGTTCTGGGCCTTCCCCTGCCTTGCTTGCCCACAATTTTGTGTATCTTTTTTAAATATTTAAGATTTCTATTCTCTGTTACGACAGAGTCACCAATGTGGAAGTGTTAAGGAAAACATCAAACCGAGCACACATGATACACACACCTTACACACATCAAACCGAACACACACACGGGATACACACCTTCCACACATCACACTGAACACACATATAAACACACACCTTCCACACATCACAAAAAACACACACGATACACACACCTGACACACATCAAACCGAACATACATGATGCACACACCTTACACATCTCACACTGAACACACATACACACACACACACACACACACACACACACACACACACACATGCACACCTTCCTGGCCATCTCTCTATTGTCCAGCTCCAGTGTACGGGACAGTTTCTCCAGGCTGCCGATACGGTCCACGTGTTCCTGCCGCTCCTCCTCCCCGTAGAAGGTGGGGTCGAGAGGTCGCGGGGTCACCCGCTGCTGCTGCTCGTCGCACAGGGTGTCCAGTTCCCGCTGGATCTCGTCTCGGTCCTGCACCACCGCATCCAGCTTGGCTTGTTTGTCCGCCAGCCGACTCTCCGCGATCTTTGTGGCGCCTGATGGAGAGGTCATTTTTGGGATGAGTGGAAAAATAATAATAATGATAATTACAAGAATAACAATAATGATAATAATTATTATTATAATAATAACAACAACAATAATAATAATAATAGCACTAATATTAATGATAATAAAATATCAATATTTAAAATGATTAATAATAACAATAATAATAATAATAATAATAATAATAATGATAATAATAATATTGATGATGATGATAATAACACTAACAATAACAATAATAAAGATGATGATTATAACAATAATAATGATGATGAATGAACAAGGTTTAAGAAGATACCAATAACTTCACATGCCCAAAACTTGACAAGCGCCTTATACCACTGCCTCGTGACATGAACTTATTGATTTCATCTGAAAGCTGATTTATTTGCCTTGCTTTCAATGAGATAAATATCCATCTATCGTGAACAGAACTCGAGATATTTACGACTGAAGAAAGTGAGGTCACCTGGTTTCAGTGGTGAAATTAGCGAGAAAATAGATGCCAAAGTTTGGTAACTCCAATAGCGAAAGAGTCTTTGAAAACAGAAAAATGACATATTTTGAGCCTTTTATCAATATTTTTCAGCAAAATTCACATGGAAGTGTGTTTTTATATGGACATAAAAGAGGTTGAGCCAAAAATAAAAATTTGATAAAAATGTCCAAACTGGCAGAAAAATGCCTGTTTCTCCAATTTCCGTATTTTGATGAGTGCCTGATTCACCACGCTGCCTCACAACAAATAACAAAATTAGTCAAGGCTTGAGGAGTAACTCACAATTAGCATCAGCCAGTTCACGACGCAAGTTCCGTAGCTCGTCTTCGCTCACTTCCAGCTGGTTTGTGCTCATCTCTAACGACTGTTTCAGCAGCTCTACCTCTTTCCTGTGGATGAACAACGGTGCTGTTATTGACTTTGGGAGGTCTTGGGAGGACAAAAAAGTCTGCCTGTCTTTCTCTGCCTGTCTGCCTGTGTCTGTATGTCTCTCTCACTCTCTCTCTATCTCTCTCTCTCACCATCTCTCCCACTCTCTTTCTCTACAACACCACCACATCAATAATATCCTCTGCCCCCTAACCTACCTGGAATGAAAGACATCAGTGTCGCGACCACTGAGTTCTTCCTGCGTGTCTGTCTGTCTGTCTCTCTCTTTCTCTCTGTCTCTCCCTCTACCTCCCTCCCCCTCTCCCTCCCACGTCAATAATATCATTTGCCCCCTGACCCACCTGGAGTGAATGACGTCAGTGTCGCGACCGTTGAGCTCCTCCTGCGTGCGACACAGCTGCGACTTGAGCGTGTTCAGCTCGTTCAGCGTCTCCTGCAGTTTGGCAGACGTGGACAGAAGGGAGAGCTCCAGGTCCTGTTGGTGCTAAAACACGACGGAAACTTTTGTCATCTGGGTAACATAGGACACTTACACACCAACAAGCACATAAACAGAATCAACCCCATATGGGAACCCCATTGCAGACACTGTGACTACCACGAGGAGACCATTGAACATCTTCTCCTTCACTGCCCAAACCTGGCAGTTCTTCGACGCAGGCTCCTACACACACCTACAGACTTATAAAGCCTGCTCTACTCTGGCGTTGACCAGATGACAAGGACCTGTGGTTACTTGGGGGAGACATTGCGCTGCCAAGAATGAAATGCTCGCAGCTAAAGGGAATTGAAAACAACAACAGCAACATCTGGGTAACATTAACACTTTCACCCCAGAATTGCTGTCCACATTTTGACGGAATTTTTTTCTCCAGATCTTATGAAATACGTAATGGGGGATACAACGCAAAACGTTCATAAAATAAGCTGTGTCAAAAGTGAAAGAGGAAGTAGTTTCTACATTGGAGAGTCATGGTGGTGAGATCAGGCGCTCATCAAAATACTCTTTTATCACTTGAAACTGTTGATGGAAAATTCAAAAGACAAAAGAAATAAAGAGAATTTTATTTAGAGGCAAAATAAATTAAGGGAGGACGTTGAATTTTTAAGGTACAATCAGCAAAAACAAAACATTTCTCCCCTACCCCCCCCCCCCCTTTAAAAAAAATCCTATTTACAGAGCAAACCCCCCCCCCCCTCCCCACAACAATCACTGACTAACAGTTACCTTGTCTCCGTCAGTGGAATCTGCCGCTGGTGATCTACACCCCTCCCCCCCCAAAAGATTAAAAAATCCTATTTACAGAGCTAAACCCCCCGTCCCCACAACAATCATAGACAGTTACCTTGTCTCCGTCAGTTGAATCTGCCGCGGGTGATCTGAGAGCCGACCTCTGATTGGACGTCTGCACCTGACTCCTGGCAGCTTCCAGCTTGGCCACTTCTGCTTCCTGCATGGCCTGCAGCATATGAATATTCATTTCCTTTATTTTTTGGGGGGGGGGGGGGGGTTGGGTAAGTGTTTTACGGCGTTCGCAACTGCATAATGTCATATGAGCGCGCGAGACACATTAAACATTTTCAGTTGGTAGGAAATTTTGAATTTTGCCCGGGTGGCGGCCGAAGCTTACTCTTATCGATTTTAGACCACCAAGGGATTTTTAACAAGCGGAACTTGCACACCGGCCCTCTGAGATTTTTTGCCCTTGTCCGAGAAGGCTAGGTGTAGATCTTTCCAACCAGAAGATCAGGGGTGTGGCTGAAAGACAGCAGTAAGAAAGAGCCACGGAGTAGCTGTAGAAATGCTGTAGAAAGAGTCAGGAGCCCAGAGGAGGGGGCAAAGGAGGTGAGGGGGTGGGGGCAGAAACTGGAGACAAAAGCAGACGACAGAACATTGTTGGAGAGCAGGACAGGAGGTGAAAGGAGACAATTTTAGAAAAGAAAATTTTTCCGTCGGTACTTGGATTCGACCCGGCACCTTTGAATGAGAGGCGAACACCTTAACCTCTAGGGCACAAGAGCCCCTATTCATTTCCAGATACATGTACTCACAATGAGGCTTACATAATAACAACATATTAATACGCATGAGACAAACAACGTATCTAAAAAGAGTACATTTCTTTAAGATGTTAAAATTTCCACGAGAAAAGTATTTTTTTTAAAGATGGAATGTAAAAATCTTAATTGGTTACTTGTTTTATTACAGTTTGTAGCCACCAGTGTTATAGAAATCTGTCTTTTATCATTATTTCTAGCAGGAGATATTATATAGTCAGCTCTTTTTCATCTTCTCGAGAGCAATACTCCTAAAAGTATACACAAAAAGAGAAAAATGTAGGAAGGAATTAGAATATAACCCTTTGAGAGGAACAGAAATAGAAAGTTTCCAAATAGTGTTCAGAACATAGAAGACTTTGCTTTGTCAGACAGAAAGCATGTTGCCTATACACACACTTTTGTCTATATACACACTTAGCAATTTGAGGCCTTGCCACCGCTAGACAGGTGGTATGCTAAACTGGCCACATGCCTTGCCAAATGTAGACAGGTGGTACATAAAACTGGCCGCATGCCTTGTCATCGCTAGACAGGTGGTATATAAAACTGGCCGCATGCCTCGCCACCAGTAGACAGGGGGTGGTTAGTAAAACTGGCCACATGCCTTGCCACCATTAGATCGTTGAGCGAGACCCTATATTCAGCCCAGCCCACTGAGACAAAATGCACACGGAAAACAGTGTTTTTTAGTTTTAGTAGAGGTTTTACGGCGCTCGCAACTGCATAAGGTCATATGAGCGCCAGAAGATTAGAAGTGTTACAAGAGAGTAACGAAGATAAAAAAGAAGGGGAGATAACGACAAAAGTAGTTTGATAGAAAAGAAGAAGCAAACCACACCAGAGCACCCGCCAACCACCCACAAAATAGTGTTTACTGCACAGGATGTTATCAATTGTTTTGAAGATTTTTCTGAATTAGATGCTGGTAATGACAAGGACAACCCTGAGTGGGATATGGGAAGTGATTCTGACGATCATACGTGAGGTGTGCTGATAAAGTGAGTGAAGTCTCGGATTTTACCCCTACGGACACAGATAGATACATGAAATGTATAGGTTCGATTTGTACAATTCAATATACGAAATTATAAAAGACATGCTTGACTTGAATAAAAAATGGCGTCCCATAAAAAAAGTACAAATTTGATTTGTCTATTTTCTGCTGACGTCTCCACTCATGGGTTGTGAGGAGTAACTCTTTTTGTCAGCACGTCTCACATATGTATGTTTGTTAGCAATATATCTCTCAGGAGCTCAGCCAGAGGGGCATGGTAGCCTAAAGAGGTCAGGGTTCAAAGGGTTACGAACATGTCGAATCTGTCCAACACTGTTGTACGTCTATCTACACACCTGATCATATCTGTCCAACACTGATGTACGTCTATCTACACACCTGATCGTATCTGTCCAACACTGTTGTACGTCTATCTACACACCTGATCGTATCTGTCCAACACTGATGTATGTCTATCTACACACCTGATCGTATCTGTCCTGGAAAGATTGCAGCTCGTCTTGTGCCGCAAACAGATCATCCTGGAGCGCCTGCACTCGCTTTTCCAGTGACTTCATCTGGAGGGAGAAAAAAAAGAACACAGCAGACGTCACTGAAAACTCATGTTCATTTACTCGCCTTCACTTTTACTTTTTCATCCTCTGTTGCAGTGGTGCTGGGTGGATCAAAATTTGAGTGGGGCTTAGGTTTCTTCCAACCTCTTTACTTTTACATTTATCTTTTCATCCTCTGTTGCCGTTAAGCGTCGAGGAGAGATGCAGTTTTCTATGGTAGGCCAGTTCTGCAGCTCTTATAAAGGAATATTATGATTTCTCAGGGTTTCCTTGACACCCTCAATCCACCTTTTGCGTGGCCTTCCTCTTCCTTTATGGCCTGAGTGTTTGGTGTTGTGTAGGCTCTCGAGGCTGGCTGGCTAGGTGACCTACATAACAGGTGGCCAAACCATTTTCAGTAATCGAGTATATACCTCCTTGGTGACTGCCCACACATATACTTGTCTCAGTGCTGCTCTGATTCCGGGATGATGATGATGATGATGATGATGATGATGATGATGATGAGGAGGAAAATAATGGAGAAAAAAAATTTAATAATTAAAAACAAAAAATTTTTACTGCCCCCCCTCCCCTCCCCTTTTGATTCTGATTCCCAATAACAGAGGGGCGGGGGGTTGCTGTGCGGGTCTTACCTTCCCACTCATGCTGTGCTGTAGACTGTCGCTGTCCATCCTCTGGTCCTCCAGCACTTGTTCCATTTCCTGTAGTCGCATGTCGCACTCCGCCCTCGCCCTTCGCTCCCGCTCCAGTTCGTCCAAGGTCGCCTTCAAGGTCGACGAGGCAGAGTCTTCATTCGCCGCCTCCAGTTCAGCAACCTGATGAAGAATGGAAAATTTTAAAATATGTGTCACACTACGTGGTGGAATCAGACACTCGTAAATTTTTTAACATGTGGCATCATCGGTATCATCTTAACCCTATCCGTATGTCTGTTTTACTATTGTATCCATACGACATGGAGATCTCTGTGCCACCACTTAACCCTATCCATACGTTGTGATTTACTATCATATCCATACGACATGGGGAACTCTGTTCCACCACTTTTCAAAGAGGAAATTCACTCGTTTATCCGATCCGTATGCTTTGCATAGCAGTCTGTCAAAATGAATTTTTGAGAAATGCTGAAAGTTTCAAAGACATCTTCGTACTAGAAGTATTCTAAATTGTGAAGAATACAACCCCCACGTCGTATGGATACGATAGTAAAACACGACGTACAGATAGGGTTAATTTGGAGAAAACATAAAGGAGTGAGCAGACCTGTCGCGTGAGCTCCGCCCTGAGTCCTCTCTCCTTCTCCAACTCCCCACACAGGAGCTCCACGTCCTCCCTCGACTCCTGCAGCTCTCGCACCGCCTCCCGCTCCTTGTTCAGGTCAGACCTCAGCCTGCTCAGCTCCTCAGCGGAGCTCTGTTCTGCTAAAGCTGACTGTAGAGCGAAAACAAGACATTTTAACTCCTTATCTGTTCTGCATTACAAGACAGTTTAACTCCTTATCTGTCCTTCTTTACTAGACAGTTTAACTCCTTATCTGTTCTGCATTACAAGACAGTTTAACTCCTTATCTGTTCTGCATTACAAGACAGTTTAACTCCTTATCTGTCCTTCTTTACAAGACAGTTTAACTCCTTATCTGTTCTGCATTACAAGACAGTTTAACTCCTTATCTGTTCTGCATTACAAGACAGTTTAACTCCTTATCTGTTCTGTTCTTCTTTACAAGACAGTTTAACTCCTTATCTGTTCTGTTCTGCATTACAAGACAGTTTAACTCCTTATCTGTTCTGTTCTTCTTTACAAGACAGTTTAACTCCTTATCTGTTCTGTTCTGCATTACAAGACAGTTTAACTCCTTATCTGTTCTGTTCTTCTTTACAAGACAGTTTAACTCCTTATCTGTTCTGTTCTGCATTACAAGACAGTTTAACTCCTTATCTGTTCTGTTCTTCTTTACAAGACAGTTTAACTCCTTATCTGTCCTTCTTTACAAGACAGTTTAACTCCTTATCTGTCCTTCTTTACAAGACAGTTTAACTCCTTATCTGTTCTGCATTACAAGACAGTTTAACTCCTTATCTGTCCTTCTTTACAAGACAGTTTAACTCCTTATCTGTCCTTCTTTACAAGACAGTTTAACTCCTTATCTGTTCTGCATTACAAGACAGTTTAACTCCTTATCTGTTCTGCTTTACAAGACAGTTTAACTCCTTATCTGTTCTGCATTACAAGACAGTTTAACTCCTTATCTGTCCTTCTTTACAAGACAGTTTAACTCCTTATCTGTCCTTCTTTACAAGACAGTTTAACTCCTTATCTGTTCTGTTCTTCTTTACAAGACAGTTTAACTCCTTATCTGTTCTGTTCTGCATTACAAGACAGTTTAACTCCTTATCTGTTCTGTTCTTCTTTACAAGACAGTTTAACTCCTTATCTGTCCTTCTTTACAAGACAGTTTAACTCCTTATCTGTTCTGCATTACAAGACAGTTTAACTCCTTATCTGTCCTTCTTTACAAGACAGTTTAACTCCTTATCTGTTCTGTTCTTCTTTACAAGACAGTTTAACTCCTTATCTGTTCTGTTCTGCATTACAAGACAGTTTAACTCCTTATCTGTTCTGCTTAGGCTGACTGCAAAGACGAAACTTTTGTAAAGAACTTTGACTTTTTTTCTTAGGTTTATTCTGCTTAATCAAAATGAAAACAGCAAACTAGTGCTGAAACATTTGGAAAGACCTGTTATGATATTATGTTTTCTTGATATTTGATCTAAGTCAGACGAGCACAAGACGAAAACAAACATTCAGCCATATTGATTTCATACGGAAGGGAAGTGTTTATTTTCGTATCAAACATCTTCACTATATTTGAGTATCATCATCATCAATGCCTTTCACCCCTGGCAGGGTATAGGCCACATACAAGCTCCTTCCATTTATCTTTGTCCTGGGCCATCCTTCCTAGCTCATTCCAAGTGAGCTTCATTTCTCTCATGTCCCTTTCCACACATCTCCTCCATGTTTCCCATGGCCTACCCCTGCCTCGTGCTCCCTGTGAGTATATTCGAGTATAAGTATGGAATATCATGACAAGACCCACCTGTAGTTCCTTGACATTGGCCTCAAGACTCAGCCTCAAAGTTCGCTCGTTCTGAAGCTGCTCCGAAGACGAGGTGCCGCTGATCTCTGCCTCCTTCACCGCACGCTCCAGCTCTCTGACCTTCGTCTCTGTGTCCTTCACCTTGGCCTCCAGCTCTATCCGGCACTCCCTCTCCCGGTCTGCCTCCTCCTCAGCCTGAACTAAGTCCTCGCGGCTCACACGCACAGACAGCGTTTTTTCCAGTTCCTCTGAGTGGAACTCGAGGCTTTCTCGCATTTTCCGTTCTTTCTCCAGCTCACGGCTGATTACCTGAGAGGACAAAACAGCAAAATAGATAGATAGATAGATAGAGACATAGAGAGATAGATAGATAGATTGATAGATAGATAGATAGATAGATAGATAGATAGATAGATAGATAGATAGATAGATAGATAGACAGACAGATAGACAGACAGACAGACAGACAGACAGACAGACAGACAGACAGACAGACAGACAGACAGACAGACAGACAGACAGACAGACAGACAGACAGACAGACAGACAGACAGATAGATAGATAGATAGAAAGATCGATCGATCGATAGATAGATAGATAGACAGATAGATAGATAGATAACACTTTATTTACCCCCCTGTGGAAATTTGATCAGTAACTGTAAACTTACATACTTTGTGAAAATTATCTTTTTCTTTTCTTTCGCACTTATTGAAAAAAACTTGCTGTTACTCTGATAGGGTCTGGTTCAGGTATACCTTCATTTGGTCAAATTTGGTAGATCTAGGTATATAAGAAAGCCTTAGGGATTTGAAATTCATTTTTTATTTTCAAGATGGCGTCCGTTTCCATAGCAACCGCCGTAGCTATGCCCAAATAAAATTGCATATCAAGAGATTTTACTATGCCTTACTTATATGTGTACTTAGATTTGATCTTGGGCTACAAATATAGAAAATGGTCCTCAAGGTTCGCTCCTCCCATTAATAGAGAGCAAATTTCACGAGTTTTCTTCCCACTGACAAAGTCCCGACAGTTTCACAAAGTGAGCAGACGTTATATCAGAACGTTCCTCACCTTTAGGCTTTCTTCCACGTCCCGAAGCGTTCCCACTTTGGACTCAAGCTCCAACCGATGCTTGCGTTCAGACTCGAACTTGTCGGCTTCCACAGTTTTCTCGGCCAGCTGCAGCTCCAGCCTGTTGATCTCCAGCTTCAGGCCGTTCTTCTGTCTCTTCTCCTCTTCTAGAATGTCCTAGAAGAATGACGGGGAAAAGAGAATTTTCTAGATTTTCGTGCAAAGCCTACCAATACAAGGATGGATCAGAAAGTAATTGCCATCTAGCAGGAAAGAACATACACACACAACACACACACCCAAACACAAATGCACACACACACACACACACACTGAGCGAGCACTGACCTTGACCTCCGCACTCTCGTGGAGAAGTTTCTCCGTCCTCTTGAGATTCTCTTCCAGCCCTTCCTTGTCCTGAGCCAGGTCCTCCCACGACTTCTTGGTCTTTGCCAGCTCCTGCAGGGTCAGTTCCAGCTTCAGCTTCAGGTCGTCGATTTCGTGAGTGTGTCTGGAAATGAACCAGGGAGGTCAGCAATTTTTTCGTGAGTGTGCTTGGAAATGGATGAGGGATCAATTTCTTGTTAGTGTGCTTGGAAATGGAAAAGGGAAATCATCAATTTTTTCGTGAGTGTGGTTGGAAATAAACAAGGTCATCAATTTCTTGTGAGTGTGCTAGGAAATGAACAAGGGAGGTCATCAATTTCATGAGTGTGCTTGGAAATGGACACGGGAGGTCAACAATTTGGCGAGTGTGCCTGAAAATGAACAAGGGAGGTCATAAATTCCGTGAGGGTGCCTGGAAATGGACATCAATTGCAATCCAGCCATGAGATAGGATGCTAGGGTGTGTGTGAGTACTCAAGTATTTCCTGCAAGTATTCCTTTGAGTGGTATTTAAATACTCACTCAAGTCCAAAAACTATGAGTTCTGTGATAATTACACAAATACTTCATATTTTCACCCGTTGAGGGCTATGAGTACAAAAAAAAATTCTGTAGCTTTCGTTGTTTTTGTTTGTGGCTACCTTGATATTTGTTTCTGCCCCTCAGTTTTCTTTGTGTACTTTTCAAATAATAGTAGAATAATAACAGTAATTTTTCATATTTTTATGATTTTGTTTCTACCATTATCAATATTTCTTTTTCTACGTGTGTATAACTGTTATCATTAAAGTTATCACTATGCCTTTAAGAGATTGTCTATCTGCCAAGCTAAATGGTTTGATATCTGCCCTCTCTTTCTCAATCTCTCATTATATATTCATATATATTCATATATATTAATCCTTTCACATTAAAAGCAAATAGCTCTGTACTGTCACTCCTTTTTATGGGTAAATGTGAAGTGTGCTGACAAAATGAGTTACTTCACAGATTCAAGCCCTATGGAAATAGACACATCAGGTTTACAGGTGAAGTTTTTACAATTTATAAGTATGAAAAAATAAAAGGTATATCATACTCAAAGAATATGGCATCAATAGAAAAATCTACAAATAAATATGAGATAATAAAAGACATGTTATACATAAAGAATATGGCATCACTAGAAAATCTACAAATTTGATCCTAGTGTCGATTTTTGGCCAATATCTCCACTTTGTGGATTGCGGGAAGTAATTCTGTTTGTCAGTACGCCTCACATATATATAACCCTTGAACTTTAAAGGCAAATGGTTCTGTACTGTAGTCCCTCCTTTACAAGGATAAATATCACTTACATCTTTAGTTTAGTTTTAGTAAGAGCTTTACGGAATTTGTAACACAATAAGGTCATATAAATGCCGAAGATTAGAGGTGTTACAAGAGAGTAACAAACACAAAAAAAAAGGAGGGGAGATAAAGACGATAGATGTTTGATAGGAAAGAAGGAGCAAACCACACCAGACCACCCACCAACCACCCACTCACTTACATCTGCAATGAATAAAGAGAGTCTACTCGTCCAGTGGAATAATCAGGTGACCACTTCAAAAGCCCATGTATGTGTGATGACAAATCAAAGAATCAGAAAAGCAAAAAAAGAATGTAACCAAATTATAACGATAACTGCGTACACGTGTGGCTTTCGCGGAAATTTGTGAGCTACATGGTGATGATGATATTCACTACAAAAAAACTACATATATAATTATAATAGCAAAATATCCATAACAAAAAAAGTGAACTTTCTAGTTTCATTTTTTTCAGCATTGTGCTAGACCCTATAATTATTTAACCATGACGTTCCAAAACGCAGCTTCAACTGTTGAGGGAGAAAAACAATACTTTTCATTAGGAAAAAGGGACCCTGTGAAAATCACTCTAACCTTTTTTTAAACAACGAATGTGTTAATTTTTTGTGGTGCTTAATTTTCCCTTCACAGAGAGAAATAGTGACACAAACAAATGATCACACCTCTGACCTGATTTTGAATAAGGCAAATCTTTCAGGGGAAGTATAAATAAAGCAAAAAAATAAATTAGAATAAACTGCTTTCATGCAGTGATCTACAGAAAGCAAATAAATGAATGATAAAATAACACAAGGCATGAACAAAAACTGATAGCTGAAGGAAACGGAAACATGTAAAATTCTCAAAAAATGAATTTAAGAATGCAACCTCTGCACCTGCCTCCCATCAATCCTTACAAAAATTCCTCGTAGTCTTTTCAGAATAATGAGTTTGCAGTTTACAAAAATTCAGCACAATAAATGCCAAATTCATAGAAATGAAGATAACAGTAAGATTGAAAAGAGCACCTGCCAACAACCCACGCTGATTGGTTTTAAAAAATCTGATGACAATCAATGTAAGCAAAGGTTTGAATCACTAACACTAAAAACAAAACTGGAACAAACTATCATCACCAATGCCAAGGTCAAATATAATCCATGCCACGGAGAGAAAACACAGCATTTGAGACAATGTTTTTTGGTTTTCTTTCTTTCATATATCTTTTTTATTTTCAAAACAAATGTTGTCACAAAAAAGATTTAATTAATACTGAAGTCATAACGTCAATTCTAAACGACATAATTAAGCGAAACTGAATTAATCCAGAAGTCATAATGTCAATTCCAAAGGACATAATTACACGAAATTGAGCACAAAGTATTTCGTGCACAGCTCCACCACTTTTACGGCTGAGCGAAGACTTATAAACTTTCGGAGACGTGAAATTTTCCTATCCACGAATTCAGTCAACAAAAGATTTTTCTGTTCTAGCGCTAGTCAGTTTGCTATTCATATTATCATTTATTCATACAAATCATTATCACTGGCAGTACTTTATCCCTCTGTGACCTTATCCTCATCCCTCTCTGTCCGTCTGTCTGTCTGTCTGTCTGTCTGTCTGTTAGTCTGTCTGTTTGTCCATTTGTACACCTAGCTTGCAGATCGCCTCAATTTCTTCACTCCTATATAGGCCTATTTTGAAATCAAGCTATATGTTGAGCAAATAGTAGCATAAAAAATACACCTAAATTATGAATATAATTATCTAAGAAACAGCGAGGCAAATTTGTAAAAATTGATTTTTTGAGCTTAGTATATTATTATTTCAACAGCTGGTAAACCATGTATGGCCAAAATCAACTTCATTTGGGAGGGAACAAATTTTTAAAAAGCACTTTTCTAACTACAGGTTACTACTAGGTCACTCATTAACAAAAACAAACAAATGAATTGAAAGGAGGGGTGGAAAAAAGTGAGTGCAATAAACACTGGCCAACCAGCCCAGGGGCTTTAATAGTTTCTTGAAATGAAACAACAGCGTGCCAATAAAAAAAGAAACAACAAATTTTCTAAAATTTAAAAGAAAAAAGAATTAGCAGGCCACTGTGATCTCTTGAGAATGCATTTCCACACAGCTGACCTTGACCTTGTTTACCCTTGACATCAGCTGGTTTTTTACCTGCACGGCTAGCTAGCTTAAGGTAAGAAAGTAAAAAGAGACAAAAAATAGAAAGAATGGCAAATATACAGAATTTAATACAGCTTTAAGACATGTATAGTTATTGTAGTGTCAAATAAGACAACAACAAACATCGCAGCTGAAAGGGAACTACATGAGAAAAACAATTAACAAACAGCAAAACAGCATTTGGGAGGAGGGGAGCACTTTTCAAATAGTGACATAGTTAAGATATATCTGACCTTTAATTAATTGCTACTGTTTCAACTTTTGCTTTTGACTGTTTCAAAGTTCAGTATCTATAAATATCAAAATAAGTCCACCCAACCACCTTTCTGTCCCATAGTTTGTACTTTTGAATTTCAGTGACCAACTTTCTATGACTCACTGATTGGACCTTGGACCACCAAGGAATTTTTTTTTAACATGGGCAACTTGCTTGTGGGACCTCCAAAATTTTTCGCCCTTATTCAAGAAGGCCAGGAGTTAGATTTTTCCTACCATAAGATCAGGGGTGTGGCTGAAAGATAGCAGTAAGAAGGAGCCAAGGAGTAGCAGTAGAAAGGCTGCAGAAAGAGTCAGGAGCCCAGAGGAGAGGGTAAAGAAGGTGAGGGGGAGGGGGGAGAAAGTTTTTAGTTTAGTTTTAGTATGAATCTTACAGCACTTGCAACACAATAAGGTCAAATAAGTGGCGAAGATTAGGTGTTCCAAGAGAGTAACAAACACAAAATAGATGTAGGGGAGAAACAGATGATAGATGTTTGTTAGGAAAGAAGGAGCAAACCACACCAGAGCACCCGCCAACCACCCGGGGTGGAAGGGAAGGGGGAGGGGTAGAAAGTGGAGATGAAAGCACACTGTCCTTCAGGGAACAACACAAGGAGGGAGACGAAGAGGCAGACACGGGAAGACAACCTCAATGGGTGGACTGGTTGTGAGACGAGACAAGACAAGACCGGATGATACGAGGCCAGACGAGACAAGACAAGATGAGATGAGACAAAATGAGATGAGATGAGATGAGATGAGACGAGATGAGATGAGAAGAGATGGGACTTTAAAAATATTTTCTATCTACGAATGTGCTGGCCACAAAGAGACAGTAGCACAATCTAGACTCCAAAATATGTTAGCTACAAAATCTGGACAAACTATCAAAAGAATTCCATTGCAAAATGCACAAGAGACAAAATCTGAGCACTTTCAGAAAACCTTGTACCCTCTACAACTTCTCATAAGGTACTCGATATTCAGTACTATAATTAGTATAATACTGCTTTCCTGCATACATTTCTTTTAAGAAAATCATTGTTTTCCCCCATTTTTCTAATTTCTGCAGTAAATGGATTTAGTATTGGTACGTTTTGCCATGGAGTCCTTCATATATCATGAACCAAAACTATCAAACGGGGGGGGGGGGGGGGGGGGGGGGGTATTGTTTGAGTGAGCGAGCAAGTTAGGTGGTGAGTGAATGTGGGAGCAAAGGAGATTGGGAGTTCGAGTGAGAACGCGGAAATAAATAATACACAGGGTGATTCAAAAGGAATGAACCGATTTCATTACGCAATATTTCAGTACGGAAAATCAATAGAAAACTCTATTCAAGTTAAGTCACAAGTATTGCACTCACAACCAAGTTTTATTCCGTGCCTTACAAGTGTTCAATGTGGCCACCACCAGATGCAACACGGACAACAACAATGCGATAAGAGAATAAATCCCAGGCGCGTTTCAGCATAACACAGTCCATTGAGTTGATCGCTCTTGTTATTCGATACTTAAGGTAATTGAAGTTAGTGGGTAGCGGTGGACCATAAACGCGATATTTTACATATCCCCACTATTTAAAAAATCACACACGGTGAAGCTTGGAAATCTGGTAGGTGAAGCGCAAAGAGCAAGATCTTTGGCCCATTTCCGACATATCCATCAGTAGTCGTAGTTAGTTATTAAAAAGTTAGATAACTCCTCTTTCAAATGGTCACTGACTCATTCCACAACGATGCTTGAGAACAGAAGTATTTCGGCATAAAATCGGTTCATTCTTTTTCTTTCTTTTATATCTTTTTTTTTTTTGAAATTCAAAATTTAGATAACTAATTTTCCACAATAATATGGTCACTGACTTATTCTATATCGATACTTGAGAACTGAAACTTTTCGTCATAAAATGGGTTCAGTATTTTTTAATCATCCGGTAAATGTACACAAGGAATGAGCAAACTACAGACCTCAGCAACATTAGGCCCACGAACAGTTTCCTTCAGGCTCACGAGTCAACGCTCACGAGTCAACCCTCAACCCAGTACTTAATAATGAAAACTGTCAGTCTTAAACATTAAAATCAATAGTTTCTGGCCTTGCTGGAATCAACAGATC